TGAGGCACTTCTTCTCTGTGTTGTTCAAATTAAACTCATTATTTTATTTTCAACTTGATTTTGTGCATTTGTATGCTGAACCTGTAGATGGATCTTTCATTAAAGGATCCAACCAAGAAAGTTTGAGGCATTTATGTTTAATGGTTGCCCTCCATGTTTGGGGAATGAAAGAAGAATTGCTAAATAATTCAATCACTAATAAATAAAGAGTTAAAAGAATGAATATAGGATAAGTAGTTTCGTTAGGATATGTGAACTGAAATGATATTGTCTGACACAGGACGAGGACGACACATTAATGTTTCTCGTTTTGTGAATTAAATTTGTAATTAAAAATTGTGTTAAAAAAGAGAGTTTTTCTAGAATATTTTGTAAAGAAGGCAATGTTATCAATGGCAAAAAGCTGAAAATACTCCATAACAGCCCACCATAGCAACCTGTGGCAGCCCGCGGGCTGTATAATAGCAATCCTTCACTAATTTCTAATGGCAGTTAGATAAAAACCCGCAACCCGCACGACATACTGCCATGCTTCACAAATTCCTAATGGCAAATAGGCAAATCTACAACACCATATCACCACGGATGTCATATATTGTCTTAGGTGGCAATATATCTTTCTCGTGTCTCATCTAGATAAACTTCTTTTTTGGTGTCTTATTGCATATTTGTGAGTCTGTTTTGTTTATAATTTCACCACTCGAGTCTGAAAAATTACAACTCTTTTTTTGTATCACCGTCCAATCATCGCAAAAGTATATTCACTAAATGGTTAGGAGAAAAATGCTTTTTTGACAATCTGGAAATGATTGATGCTCTAGCTATTTTGGGGGAGTGCTGTATATATTCTTATTTATATGTATATTTTCTTTTGTTTTAGTTATATTAGAATAATTTTTGTACAATATGATCATTTTTATATGGTAAGGAGTTTTTTTTTTCTTTCTTTTTTTTAAGCAGATATTGCAACCTATCTGCGACTCCCTCTATACTATGGNTTTATTAAGTAGATATTACAACCTATCTACGGCTCCCTCTATAATATGAAAGTCCTTCGTACTTCAACGACACGCAGAAATTGTTCCTTCTTAATATTCTATAGTATTAAGAATATTTTGTAGTGTTAAATGACTGATCCCCCTTATATGTAATTACAGAACAAGCTGAGCCTAAGTGGTAGTTTCGCATGCTTCATAATCTTATGTGGCAAAATATTTGGCTCTGTAATATGGCTCGGATAAAAATTACTAATTTTTTCATACGAAATAATTTTGGTTTGTATTACCATAAATTCACGTATTTAATATATTTAAACTATTCCACAAAATCTATTTATTATCTTCTCTCACGTTCCAAATTTTGTGTTTTGTCTATATTATTCTTTTATGTGTTTTAAATAAAAATTTATAAATAAAATTAATGATGTATATAAATTAGTTTTCAGAATTTAAAATCATATTATTAATTAACTTAGTTCTTTATTATAAATAGATATAAATTGTTCGTAATTTATTTTTTTCAACTTCAACAATGTATATGAACATTTTTTTTCTTTTTTGTTGTACATTTAATATTTTATCAAACACCCGTCTTTCGTAATTGGCGAAGGATTTCAATAAAGAAATGAAACTTACAATCTCTATTATAAGTCGTGAAAAAAAAAAAGTAGAAATTGGCTTGAAGATATGTGTGCACTGTAACTATGAATCTGTTTTGCGGGCAAGGAAATCCTCAACTGTTAAACAGGAAATTTATGGATTGAGCGATAAGAAAACATTCATAAGAAAATCCATGTATCGTAATATATATCATAAGAAAATAATATATTATATAATTGAAATTAAATTTACATTCAAAACTTAGCTAATCAGTAAATCGAAGTTTATTTTTGCATGTGTTTTTCCACTTTGCTATCCAAAGGACTCGCTTAACCAGAAATTAATCTGATGTAACTGAACATCTGTATGTGAAGCCTTGCGTCGGCTAGGTCTTAGATAGGGAATAGTCTAGGGTTATTTTCTGAATTGATTTCGGCTTTATCTTTTAACACAAAGGAAAGTGAAGGCAATTGTCCAAGAACAATACTGATGTTTTCTTTCTTGGTTGTCTTATAAGAGCTGATGAATGCAACATGTTTCAGAAATGATCCAAACTGCGCGAGGCCATTTGAAGGATTGAAATTCATAGATGTTGGCTGTGGAGGGGGGATTTTATCTGAGGTATGAGTCTTTATCTTTTTCTAGATATATATTCAACTTGGCATGGTTCACTTTATTGATAATTCGAAGACATTCTCTATGAGAGAAATGTCTGTGTATAAGCATTTATGAACATCTCTTAGTAGACAAATTATGTTTGGATGTAAATTAGGATAATCGTTTATTCTTGTTGCATAAATGATTCTTTTCTAGCCTTTAATGTTTATTTTTAAACATATTTCAGCCTTTGGCTCGGATGGGTGCCACTGTTACAGGAATTGATGCTGTTGAAAAGAACATCAAGATTGCACAACTTCATGCGGTATGTTCTTTTATGGAAATGAAAACAACTTGCTGTATGCATTCATGCACATTTACATAATAAGTTCGGTGCTGCTGATTGAAAGTTTATGAAATGAAATGGGTTGCACAAATGTGGTCTGGCTATATTTTTAATTTCATTTTTAAGAAATTGTACTTTCGATCAGTGTGAAGATGAACTAATATTGTGTTCTTAATTGTTGGACTTCTGTATATTGGCATGGTTATGTATGTAATTACTTAGTTTTTGGTAAGAAGTGAATACTAATCTTGTGGGCTTTACTTGAGTAACTCTCACCAGCACCAGTATAAGTCATACACACAATTATACTTCAGTCCGGGCATGAGATCTATATAACTGCCTCATAATTAGAACACATCAATTTATGTAACATAAATATTTCCTTGTGTTATTTATGTCAGTGAAATTTGAACTTTTGCAGCATTTGGATCCTATGACTTCATCAATTGACTACCATTGCACAACAGCTGGTATACATCTTATTTACTTTGTGAATGTTTTATCATTTCCTTTTTTCTTCGAACTGCTTTCACATATTTATTTAACTTTGTAACGTAAGAGTTGAGTGCTTATTATCTCTAGCATCTTCATGTTTTGACGCTCCTCATTTACCCTGTGCTATTCTAAATCTTCAAATGTTCCACCAATTTAGCCAAGTTCTTATAGTGGAATGTTTTCTCCATGGTTCTTTTGGATCTTCGTTTCTTTTCTCTCTACGTCTCTATTTTTCTCCTGATCTATATATTTATTTATTGGGACTGAGGGAATTGACCAAAATGAGCGGGCATGATGAGAGTACAGTGGGGCATAATGTGTATTTCTCCATCTGTGGGCTAAAATTCCAACAGTTTGATAAAAAAAATCATCTAAACTCATTGACATCATAGTGATCAAAAGGGCACCTAGGTAAGGTGAAAAAGGTAAGCAAAGGCAATTATTTACATCAGTTTTTGTGTTGGGTTGTTTGAAGGTGTTTGTAGTGATCTGTTAGCTTTTGTTATGACCTTTAATTTGCTGATGCCTTTTTATGTGGTATTAGCCACAGTTACTGATATTTAACTTTTGCTAGATCAAATAATTACTTATCTGAAAAATGTGTACCTTTTGAACTTCTAAACAATATTCTGCAGAAGCTGATGAAATTATTGCTTGCTACTTTGGCAGAAAAATTGGTGAAAGAGCAGAGGAAATTTGATGCTGTACTTGCACTGGAGGTAAGATATTAATTTGATTCCAATGGAATTTTATTAATATGATCTGAGAGTTATCAATCATTAGGCTTAGGCAACTTATGTTATACATGCTGTTTTGTGAATCTTCAGTAGCATAGATCTTATTACCTTTTCATTTTTCGATTTATTGGATGCTCTCTGCTAGGACTATAGCACTTCTCTGCCTCTGCGTACACATTTCACTATTCATGCATTTACAGTGGACACACTCTTCCAGAAAACGAATGAAAAAAAAAGTAACAATTATAGATTTGCATCTAATACTTTGCATGCTATTCAGGTAATTGAGCACGTGGCAGATCCTTCTGATTTCTGCAAATCCTTGTCAGCATTGACCAGTTTTGGTGGAGCTACGATTATCTCTACAATTAATCGATCCATGAGAGCATATGCAACTGCCATCCTCATGGCTGAATATGTGCTACACTGGGTATTTTATTCCGTCCTGTTTTAGCTTGTAAGGATGTATTTTTTTTATGTTCAAAACTTGTCCTTTATAGCCATTGTTGATGTCAGTGTTGTTTAGTAAGTATTCCCCTATGTAGATAAGGCATATTGAACTTATCGACCTCCCATTATCTTATTTTCTTTTTCTCAAATTCTTTTTTGTATGACGCATGAGTCCTCAAAGAGTCCACTCAGTGTCAAAAGTGCCAAAAAATGTCAACTTGGACTTTGGCCATATATAGGAGAATACAAGAAATTGTATCAACACTTTATAGATTCTAGAAGAAGAGTATGTCATGGTTTGGTTTTAAGTAATTTGTATTCCGTGATTTCAGTGTGTACAGAGCTTTACATTTTCATCTTTTTTTTCATAATTATCTTATTTGTTCAACAGGTCCGTCGAGTCACTTGATTCTTTTTTCTTGTCTTCCTCTTGATTCCTTTAGTTATTAAACTTACGTTCATGACTTATGCATGTTACTTGAGATTCTAGTGTGCTTTCTTTTTTCTTTTGTTCTCCTTCATACATAGTTTCGACAAATACCCTCGACTTTAGTCTATAAGAACAAAAGAACATATCTTATGACGAGAATCATATGTCATGCGTGTTAAGGAAATCTAGTAAAAACACATCCTAGTTTTAACTGAAGAGGTGTCTCAAAATATTTCCCATAAGATTCTCCATCTTCTCATTGTTTTGGCATGTTAAATTTTTCAGCTTCCAAGAGGCACACATCAATGGTCGAGCTTCCTGACGCCAGAAGAACTAGTCCTTATTCTTGAGCGTGCCTCTATTTCAGTGAGTCACAAAAGGCTTGTTATCTTTTACTGCAGACACTTTTTTACCCTTTTTAATATGAAATTGTTGTTTTCCCTTCCCTTTTTATCCAGGTCAAAGAGATGGCTGGGTTTGTTTATGACCCCTTGACTGGGAGATGGTCCCTTTCTGATGATGTCAGTGTTAATTTCATCGCTTATGGCACTAAGAACAGTGAATAGTAACCTGACATCCAGTTTCTTGTTATGTAACTTTATTGAGTTATAACTAATAATTTGATTTCCTTTCTTTCCCTTCCTTTACCCGTCTTTTATTTATTTATTTTTTCTGTCACAACTCTCTTGAGGCATTATTGGTCCTTTTGTGTGTTCAAAAGGAGTGAAGTTCTGAGGTTGAAAAAAATGTACAGTATCGGAAGGAAAGCAGGATATGTAGGCATTCATTGCACTGTGTAGTGTATTCAACTTTAACTATACAATCTTGCAATATGTTATGTTTTTTGTTAGGCTGACCTAACCATTATGCCTGACATACTTTCCTCTCAAATATGCATACTGTCATTTGAAAATGTCAACTTTAAAAAAAACAGCATAAACAAAAATATAACATTTGATTGCATCACTTTATTTTTGTTTACTGATTGGTCCACCTACTTATCTGTTATGATGCTTAACCCAAAAGTTTTAAGGGGGAGATCGAAAAAATTAAAGAAAAAACCAACTTACAATCCGTTTCACTCTTGAGTCGAGTCATCCAAACTAGACCCAAAAAATATTATGATCGAATTGGACGAACCATCTGGTCAAACAGAGATCGAAGGTATTACAGATTGAAAAAGTCCTAGTAAGCCATCACATGAAATTTTGTGGGCTTGGACACATTTCTGGATTTTGGTTTACTAATATTTAGCCAGTTAAAGTCACATGGTCAGCGGGCCTCTAGGATGCTCCAGTTAGTGCAATTAGGACCACTAATTGAAAAAAAATAAAAATAAAAAAATCTTGTAATGAATGATATGTTTTAGATATTTATTAGATGAGACTTTTAGGACCACAGGTCTAGAAATCGAAACTCTTTTAACGCAAAACAAAATGTACATGTGAATGAATTTAGGACCACCATTTGCTAAAAAGAGGTCTTGCGAATATTATAGAAGAAGATGATAGGTCTCGAGGAATTGGGGTGTCCTTTGGGGTTAATTAAATTTAATTTGCAACTGATACCAAATTTTTAATGTCGAGCATATAGGATGTGAAGAGCACATGCAAAACCACGTTCTTTAATATATTTTAACTTGATATTTTGGGCTCTTTTAGGCACTAACCAGTTCTAGATTTCTACTCTCTAATTTTATGTGTATTAACATAGTAACCGAATATATATGAATAATATACATGTTATATGCTTTGGTTCCGGTTCTCTCTCCCTCTTATTTGGTTCTTCACTTTTATATTATGGTTCGTGAATTCTTGTAATATGGTTACTCAAGGAGTCGGATCCTTTTCATTGTCATTCTCTATCTGTTTCTTAGAAAAATAATTGATAATAATTGGATTGGTCCCGGACCTAGCTAATATAGTTGGGCCTTTTTTTTTTTTTTTTTTTTTTCTTTCTCTTTTTGTTTTTTTTGTATAAAACCACCAAATGAGTTCAATAGAAAATAAAATTTAAATAAAACATAAAAAAGTAGCTATTTAGAGCATGTTTGTTTATAAAAAATTTTGGTTTTGTTTGTATTTTTGATTTAGTTTGGTTAATTTTGAAAAAGGTGGTATGGTTACTGGTTAGTTGTTAGTGGGTATATTAAAATAATATTTAAAATAAAATAATATAAATTGATTTGATGTAAAAGTAGGAGAGAAAGATTTGAAGTGATGGTTAGTTAAAATAATGTGAGTGGATGAATAGTGAATTAAGGTTGATGTGGTGTGTAGTAATGATTGATTGATATTATTTAATTATATTGATAATTTTGATGATAGTGTGGTTGAGTTAAAGTTGAGTTAAAAAAAATGATTTAGTTAAAATGTTGGAAATTTTTTGAAAATTTCCATAAACAAACATGCTCCTAGTTTTTGCTCACTATTAAAAATCAACTTGAATAGTTTTAGGGCATGCTTGTTTATAAATTATTTCATTCCCATTCAAGTCATACTCAAAATCTAACTCAATTTTAACTCAACTCCACTATTTTTAATATTATTTATATAATTAAATTATACAAACCAATCATTCTTACACATCACATCAACTTTAATTCACTATTTATCCACTCACATAATTTTAACTACCTATTATTTTCAATCATTTTTAATCCTTTATCTCCTACTTTTACATCAAATCAATTTTAATCATTTTATTTTAAATATTATTTTAATATATTCTTAAAATTCCACTAACAACTAACTATATCACATTTTTCAAAATTAACTATAATTAACCAAAATAACCATTTTGAACAAATTATTCCATAAACAAGCACCCCCTAAATTCATATCTGCTAATAATTTAACTCATGTTTGGAATTGGTAAAACTATGCCTCCTTATCTATTATGTATGTCAGAGGAGCCAGCATAGGTAGACCATTGGAAGATGTTCATAGATCAAAGTTCAGTTAAGAGTGTTCTGGAAAAAAAACGCCCTAGTTGATGGCCAAAAAATCAATATAATATCTGACAAAACTAGTTGGTACGTTGACTGGAAATAAAAATCCTAATAATGTCTTCTAAAATGCTTTCAGTATAAACAGTTGGAATAAACTTGAGCTAAAAAAAATAAAAAAAAAAAGATGTATCCATCCAAACCAAGAAAGTATTTTTCTTAATAAACTATGGACAAGCAAATTGTACCCACCAAACAATTTTAAAACGATGAAGCGAATTTATCTAAAATAAATCCAAAGTTGCTAGAAGAAAATATATAAAGTTTCCTATTATAAAATAAATTAATAATCACAAAGATAACTAAAAATAGCCCGCATATCCTTCTCTGTATATTAATTCAGAACGTGTTGAGCCTAGTGGTAGGCTCGCATGCTTCAGAATCCTATGTGGCAAAAGTACATGCTTTGTTATTAGGTTTGAGTAGATTTTAATTTACTTCACAGGTCCAGATTATCCATAAATATGATTATTTATGGTCATTTTACACGTATTAATTGTATTTTAATATCATTTCTTATTATAACATTGAATTGTAAATGTATTTTAAAAGTTAATAACTTTTGTATTTTTTATCAGTTTTACATATATCATATATTAAATTAATCATTTCATGATGAGTTTCGATTTAACATCCATATTGTATGTATAAAAAAAATAAATTATATTTATTTTTATAACAATAATAAAATTATTTTTAAATATTAATTAGAAAAACAAAAATATTTAACAATTAATATATTTATATTTCAAGTAGTTATATGATATAAGTTATAAAATTTACTATAATATAACACATGTAAATCGCACAAGTAACAAGTATTATTCTAAAATATACAATAATATATATTTTTTTATCAAAAAGCAAATTAAAATTTAAAATAATTTTTCTTATTAATTTTAAAATTTAAGAATAATTTTTTAACAAACACCCGTATAATACACGGGTGTTGGACTAATAGTACTTAAGAACAGTTGGGATGAGTACTCTCGAATTTTGAGGTGGTCCTAAATAATTAGCTCAAAATCGAAACTATTGAATTAATCCCCATCCGGGAATCAAGCATGCAGTGAGAATTCATATTGAAAAGGACCACTACAAAAAGAAGACAAACAAATGGATAAAACAAGATGTTAATAATAATAATATTTCTGAATTTGTTTCTTTTTAAGAAGAGTTGTTCTCGAGAACTGCCATGAAGTGGAATGGTCGGATTATTGTGTTCAAAGGTCGGTATCATCCGTGCTGTATCAGTTATAGTGTGATTTATAATTTTATATCGTTCAATTCTTTTAAATAGTTGCATATCATAACAACATAAAACATATCTTGTTTCAATTTAAAATTATAATAATAATAATAATATTATTATTATTAAAATTACTTTTTTATTCAGAAAGTAATGTTTTGTCAAATCAACCGAGCCAATGTTAAATGTGAATATATTTCAGAGAGAGATTATTACTTTCGTATGTGTTGATTAGTCTTTATTTGTAAGAATAATTTTGTCTGTTGGACATTTTATGATTCTAATAATCATCTAATAATATTAATACTATTGGTTACTAATCGTTGAAACTTTATTAACCTTATCATATACCCATACTATTTATTACAACCAATCACAAGAGCAACATTGAGAGAGAGAGAAAAAAGTAAAATTAGAAAATGAGATTGTGGCAGAAAAATGAATTGTGAGGTTTAGGGTTAGAGGTTCCCTTTATATACCTGTTACCAATGTTCCAGAAGCCAGCTGGGCGCCCGCTAGGCGTCCGACCAGCCTCTAGCGCCTAGGCGGGGACGAGACGGGGCCTAGAAATTAATATTAAATATCTTATTTTTTTAATTTATTTTTACTACCTAAAAAATGAAACTACTTCAACTTATAATAAATGTTCACACACTTAAATACAAACAATAATATAATGTATTAAAATGAAGTTGCAAATCATACTCAGCCTCAGTGGATGTCCGATAATCACATGGAGTACTTTTTTATGCCGGACTACTAGCCTTTGAAAAAACTTAACAACAAAATAATGAAATAATACATGCATAAGGTTGTTGCAAAAAGCAAAGAACAATAAACATAAATTTTTACTATTTTTTTTTTCTTTTTTCTAATGATAATTGTCAAATTTCTACTTAAGTTATTCTCTTTGGAATTTCATCAAATACATTGTCAACATCATTATGTTTTAAGAAATTACACACTATAATATCAACCACCCAACACCCAATTTCACAAATTTCACACAATAAGGTTCCAATAAATTCATTAAATCTTAGAATGAAGAAAACCTAATTACATAATGTATAAGTTAAATTAGAAGTGAACTAACATAATGTTCAAAAATCCCATAAAAACAGTAAAATTACATGAGTGAGTGAGAAGAGGGAGGGTCGAATCCGGCGGCGAGTGAGGTCCGCTGAATAAGGGTTGCTGCTAAACGTGGTTTATAAGGTAGAGAGTTATGTTCTCTGTTAGTGTTCTGCTTCTGTATTGAATTCTATTTGGTAAGATGGCACCCTTTTTTTTTTATTTAAATTTTAAAGTTTAAACTGAGACAACGACATAACACCAAGCTCCACCATCTTCCCGTCTATCCCCGCCTGCTGCCGCCTAAGCCCGACGAATCGCCGAACCCGCTTAGCCGCTAAGACCGTTGAGGACCGCCTAGGCCCGACTAGGCAACACCGAGCCCGCCTGGCCGATTTTTACGGCCGACTCGACCAAATCGTCGGCGCCGGAATGCCGCCTAGGCCGATTTTTAGAACACTGCCTGTTACAACTCTACCGAAAGTGCTAAAATATGAATGACATTTTTATTACAAAGACTAAAAGGTGTTGAATGTAAAATTAATCAAATACAAATATAATTATTA